TATCATAAAATTTTGAACGTTTTTTTTGAATTTGAACGTGAACGCGTTTTTGTCAATGAACGTTGAACGCGTTCGATTTTTTTAAAAATGTTTACAGCATTGGTAATTTATAATTTTAATGGAATTTTTTTTTATTTTCACAAGCAAAAAACCGAATTAAAGGTAATAATTTAGGATGATGAATTGAAAAATACAAGCGAAAAATGGGAATTTTTATATACATAGATTTGATAAAAATTACAAAGATTTTCTTAAATGGGCAAATTCATCTTAAATTTGGTTATAGCAAGTGCAGAGCGGAGATTCTCAGCCTTAAAAAAGAATAAACTTATTGTGATAACAGGATGAGTCAAAATCGATTCTAAATTTTTCGTTGATTTTAATTGAAAAAAAAAATCAAAAATAACTTTTATAATTCAATGTATAAACATTTTACTCGTAAACAGAGACTAATTCTAGATATATATATATCTTAATATTTTTTATATGGCTTCACTAATACAAAAAAAATTAATTGATTCCCTAATATTAAATTTTACGCTTCGTTATTGGATTCTGATAGGATTTATTAAATGATGCATGAATTCATTAAACAAACATTACCAGGCTAATTAAATAATTATAAATGATTTAAAAATTATGATATATTTATGAATTTAAATTAATCACAACAAAAACTCATCTTTAAATTTCAATTACGCGCAACCAGAAAACTATATATCATTTATAACATTTTTTTTACTTAACGGACTTTTCCTCTTTTCAAATGTTTTTTATTTTTATTGGGGCCCTTTAATTTTTAAATTGACCCTTTTACATTTTTGATCAAACTATTTTTTTTGTGAACGGATATTTTTTGATCGAACTTTTCCCATTTTGATAGGATCTTTTTTTTGAATGAGCAACCCTGTTTATTAAATTAATTTCATACGGATTAGATCAAATTCGAAATTATGATTTATTTTGCATCGGTCCTAATACTAAAATCTATACTAATAAAAAATGAAGTGCACTTAAATCTATATTTTATAAATATAAATTGATTACCATAATATCAAAATTTATTCTTCCATCCAATGTCAAATCTGAAGATTTTATTTTATTCCTATCTGATTCCAGAAGGATAAATAAAGAAGAATAATCAAGAATTGATATCGATTAATCTAATAGAATTGTGAAGAAATAGTTACTATAAAAGAACTACTATATAAAATCGATATTTATATATTTAAATAATTAAATATTAATTATATTCCAGGATTCACGTTTTTAAAATATTTTTCTGTTAATGGTTAAGAATAAAATTGGCTCTACTAGTAATTTAACTTATCTAATTAAAACTTATTATACTACGAATTTTTTAAATATAGTCTCATAAAATTATTTTATTTATGATTTAAATAATAAATTTATTTATATAAATAATAAAATATAGTGTATATTTATGAATTATTCCTATTTGGGATTGCCCAAATGTTTGGAATTCGAATATGAACCATTAGCATATATCTCAATGATAATATATATAAAAGTGACACCTTTTATATTAATTATAGGCATTATAGGAAACGGATTAGGTCTTATAGTTTCATGTATAGACTCAAATTATTCGTATACAGTAAGCCGGAAAAAATATAAAAGAGGTAAAAAGGTTGATAGCATCTTAATGAAAACTTTCTACATAGTTAATATAATAAATTGTACATTAATGATACTATGGCCTGTACTTGATTCATATGTATTCTATTTTGGAAAAAAATTATGGTTAAATGAAATTTGGCACAAATATGTCATTCATTGTCACATTCCTTTATTCAAAACATTTTTGGTATATAGCTTTTTGATATATTTATTGTTCGCTATAAACCAATTTATAGCAATAACATATCCTTTTAAATACAAAGTCTACTGCAATGCGAGAACAGCAAAATGGGGTTTAATATTTTGTTTTTTTTATTCCACAATTTGCTCCATGCCACTTGCGATTTGGTATCAATTAACAGTTATTTATTGCTTACGAAAAATTAATCATTTTTCTTATTCACCAGATAAATTATATATGAGAAAACTTTTTATTCCAGAAAAGATATGGCAACAAAATATATGGGCATGTTATCAAATATCAAGAGAGTTTATGGGCAAAATTATCCCATTTTTCGTGATAATTTTTTTGAACTATTATGTTATTAAAAAAAAGAAGAAATTTGTTAATAGCATGAAAATAGAAATCATGAGATCCAAAAATTGTAATGTAAAACTCATAAATGTTATAGATAAGAGCAAATCATTAGTTGATCCGTATTTGAAAGTTAAATCTAAATTAGTTTTTAATTCTAATTGTAACAACGTACCTAGTGACCAAGGAAATTCCAGAGATAATTTAACAAAGATGGAATTTAGAAAACAAGAAATTAAAAGGAACTTAATGATGATTATACTATTCATGATTCAATTCACGTGTTTTATGTTGCCCAGTTCAATATATCATATTATTGCAGTCGTTAATAGTCCACTTAGGTGGGAAGTTTTAAACACAACCTGGTCAATTTCTTACTTTTTAGAATATTTATTCGTGAGCGTAACTTTTTATGTGAATCTTCTATTTAATAAACATTATAGAATATATGTATTCCGAGTTATTAACCCTTATATATCAAATATCCAAATAATATTAAGAAATTTTTCAAATGATTTAGCAAACAATAATATTATGAATTTATTATATAACACATGTAATTTTGGAACATATTTTTGATCCAAACATAAATAAATCTCAAATTATAAGAAATTCGATAAGCCTGATTTAATTTATAATTATCATAAATATATTAAAGTAGTAATAAAATTACTATTTTTTTAAAAAAAATTAATATAATTTATGTAGTTCTGTGGGCTTGTACATAAATTGGCAGTGGAACTTTCAAAAAAATCTTTAGTCGGACAAACCGATTTTGCTAGTCTAAAAATTTGGATTGCATTATTAGCGTGCTGTACATTTTGTTATAAATTTTGAACATGAATAAAATACTATAAGTTTCTAAAACAAATGGTAGGATTATTACTAAATCGAAATCTAGAAGCTCTAATGGCCTTATCCCATTAGATCAGTAGAACTCATAGGCTCGTTGTCATATTTTTTTAGGCCTCTACATAACAATATAATGTTCAAGAAATTTTGAATGTAAAATTTATAATTGAGTTTATAAAAATTGAATTAAATCGAACTTATTTTTATTAAAAAATTGTATTGCAGCTAATATCTTGGGTTCAAAATTTTGAAAAAATGAATAACCGTTATTGACAAATATATAATAATATAGTAAATAAAATATTAACTATATAAAGTTCTGCATAGGAGTTTTGGTCAAGATTTTTAAGGATATTTTATTTCAGGATAATATTTATTCGACCTGCTAAATATTTTTATATAAGTTTCCAGCCTGGTCAGTAATAATTATTTATGATGGGCCGAAAATAGTTATTCCCGGCCTCTAAAAAACCTTAAAAAATTTTTTTGGCCCAGCTAAGACCTTAGATATTGTGGTTGTTTGTCTCGTAAAATTCTGTGCCCGGTCCGTTAATTTTTTTTATAAAATAATCATAAATTTATACCTGCTAAAAATAATATTGAAATTGTGGCCCGAAAGTTTAAGATTCTCAAAATTGATAGAATATACTATAATTAACTTAATATATAAAAAAAAGCAATTCGATTCTCGGGTAAAATAAAGAATTCAATCAATGAACCAACTATGATAATCAAAAATTAATAAGACTATTGAAATAGGAAATTGATTTATAGCAATCCAAACTAAACTAATAATGTGTTATATTCAGGGGCATTGAACGTAACTTGGAGAAAATTATTGAACACTATCGGAACGGAAAAGGTTATTCAGTAATGTTCCGAATATATTAAATATTTATAATGGCTCATTCATAAATATGTTTTTCCTATTTCCAGTTTGCTTCACATAATAATATTATTTAATCATAATTATGTAATTTTAATTTATAATTCCTGGATTAGCCTTTAATCAGAATTATGAAATTATATTAAATTAAAGCTTTTAATATGCCAAATAAAGCTTTTATTTTTTTAAAAATTTATCATTTTTCAAAAGAGGATAAAACTAAAAATATAATGATAATATTAAATTTATTAATTATTCAATCAGAAAATTTTATATTACAATTTAATTAAACAATATCTAATGTTAGTACAGTACTTATACTAAAATTATTTGTTAAATAAGATTTGATTTTATTGGAAATGTGAGAATTTTATTTTTTTGAAATAACCAGTAATTTTTTTTGTTTTTATCTATTAATTTTTTATAATTTTGCGGGAAAGCATTAAAATGATTTTCCTGATTTGTTTTAAACTTATATATGTAGTGCAGCCAGTTAAACCCATTCGAATTTATCTAAGTTTTTATCACTATACATGTGCATAAATTTTTACTAAATGATTTAGAAGAATTTATATTTTTAATAAATATTGGTTACTTTTTAATTTTTTTAATTTTATTTTGCAGAGACCTGCTTATATGAGAATCATAAAGAATTTATTATAATATACAATATATTTTATTGGTTTTCCATGATTTATTTATATATAATATACTTATATTTATTCAAGAAAATATATTAAAAAAGATTATTTACAAAAATAAATGTTAAAAAATAGTTATAAACTATAAAAATAATTTATATTAATTAGAAATATTATGGGACGTATAGTTTGTTATATGAAACTTTGGACATAATTCCTATTTGATAATAAGCCGGAGATTTTTCAAAGAATCATATAGCATTTTTAATCTATTATTATTACGGTAATAATGTAATTATCGAGACTAACTTTTTTTTAACCAAGCAAAATTTATAAGTCAAAAAAGGAATACTAATCAACTTTAAACATACGATTTTATGAAAAAGAAATTAAACGGATTAAAATCCTATATAGAATTTCTTGCATAATTATGGCAATTCACTAAAATTACGATTCGAATTTAATGAAAGTAAATAAATCGTTCATAGTGATCATGAATGAAACCTAGTTTAACTGATAAACTTGTAGACTTTAAATAAACTATTTTCTGAATAACAAATAACAAAAATAGGTTTAATTTTTAGATTTTTTATTGGTTTTTGGATTATAATTTTAGAAGAAAAGAAAATTTGTAGAAGGTAATAAATTCGACTTTTTAAATTTGGTTAATGTTTCCTTTCTTTTGCTTTAGCAGATCTAATTGATAGGTGAGTATCCAGAATGATCATTAGTATCAGCAAATTTGTATTAATTCTGGAACGATAATGACGTTCTCCTCGTGCGAAATATTAATCGAATCAATGTTTTTTCTGCTTTTGTGTATCATTGAAAAAATTTCAAGAAAAAAAATGAAATTTTTCTCGTTACTCTAAATAATTTAATTAATAGACCCAATTAACAGGTACCCAATGGCCATTTCTGACAGAAAGTTGGCCTATGTCTTCGCAATAGTTAAAATTTTTCTCCTCGATGTTAGAACTATTATTGATAATTTTATTATTAGTATTATCTTGGAAAGAATGATCTCGTAAAAGGTGAAAAATTTTGCGCTCCAATATTGCTATAGTTTTGTCTATATCGTCGTTGACGATAAAAAGGTCGAAGGTATGCCTGTAGGTTTGTGATAAATATTCGCTTTCCACTATGAGGCGTTCTAGACTACCATCTGCCTAAAAAGTTTAAATTTAATTCTAATATTTAATAATAGGGCAAAATAATTGATGAATGTTGTTAAAAAGGGTGTGCATTTTTATTGCTTTAACTTTTCACAAAAAAATCAATAAAATGTTAACCAAAATCAATACTTTTGTTAAAAATAAAAAAATTTACATCGGGAAAATCTGTTAATGAAGGAGCGGCTATAAAGATTATGAATGGGGCATATTGAGCGGTTCTTAACGTCTTAAGAGCCTGTATGGCATATATAAAAAGAATAATATGTAAGAAAGAAAATAAAAGTTATAAATCATAAATCGTCGCATTGGCAAGAAAGGAATAAAGAAAATTAATCTTACTAAAATGGAAAAGAAAATGGAGGATTTAGTTTAGAATAAATAAAACTGAAGGAGAGAAGATAGAAAGGAAAATTAAAAAACTAAAGGGAAGAAAAGAAAAGCTAAAAAAATGTATAATTAACTTGAGGTTCGACATCCAGAATAGCCATTTTGCCGCTTCCTAAAATGTCTTTAACAGTGCTTAATTTAGTGCCGTAAAGGGAACCCTCGTGGCTACCGTACTCTAGGTAATCGTTGTTAGAAATGTCTTTCGACATTAGCTCAGGCGAAGCTACGAAATAATAATTTTTGCCGTTCTTCTCATCGGGTCTGGGCTTACGGGTGGTGTCTTCGTAATGGGTACGTTAGAAATTTGATAAAAATCAGAAATTTATTTTTCGCCATTTATATTTTTATCACCTTTTTCTTTTAAATTGTTTTAGCATTTATTTTTTTCAAAAATATTTATTTATTCCATTCTAAGATTATCAAAATAAATAACAATAGATTATGTTTTCATACGCGGGATAGGGTAAGCGAATAAGGAAGGATGGTTGGCTATAAGCGTGTTCTTTATGTGCCTTCTACCGACACCGTGAGCTCCTGATAATTTTTTTAAATAATTTATGATACTCACTATTTTAAAAATATTTTCGTCGGATATAATTATATAAAACATAACTCAGGAATAAGTTATAATTAAATAAGTAGGATAGGATTGATTTCAGGTGACTGCATTTTAAAAGGCAAAAAAGGAAATAACATAAATAAGATAGTGGAAATATACTTTCAAAAAATAAATATAGTTAAAAGGAGAGAAGGGATATCGATATCAATGCTAAGAGAAAGAAAATCAAAAGAAAAGGTATGAAGGGAAAGAAGAAACAAAGGAAAAATGGAACATATTAGAGGAATGAGAAAGTTAAAAAAACCAGGTAGGAGTTAAAAAATTAATAAAAAAAATAAAGGAGTGAAAAAAGGTTCAAGATCGAACATAAACTATCTAAAATTACCTAGCAACACTAGGGTCTTGTAACGAAAGTTTTCCACGAAACATACCTCCTCGTAGGTCACCACGTCTAATTGGTCGAAAACAGCATTATGCTTTACCAGATACTTGTCCTTATTGGAATTCGATGACTTATGATAATGCAAGAAATGGGTATTTAACATGCCTTCCGAATGGGTATTCGTGTGATGGCCGTTGAGGATAGAATTAGATGAGGAAGAGGGAATCGATTTTTTATAGGTGGGGAAAAGGAACCATGCGCAGTTTACTTTTATATTGGATAAATAAATATTTTAAATATAACATTTAGGCTGCTATCTCCTGGTTTATCTTTTTTCATTTCAGATTCTAAATAGCTGACTGAAGAGATTGTGGTATTTAAACTAAAAAAAAAGAATAAGTAAACCTTTAAAGGTATTAATACCTTATGTCAACATGTATTTTAAAAAAAAGGATATTATTAGCTGTTCTGAATAGAATTACCTGTTGAGAATTGATATAAGAAGATGAAGAGGCAACCTTAAAGATATACTTTTATTTTACTGTTTCTTTCTCATCTTTAAATTCCCACTATTTTTTCCTTCCTCGGTAAAAATAAAACTAGGTATTGTTTAGAAATAAAATCAAAAAGTTGAAATATAGGGATAATCAAAGGTAAAAAAACCAAATTTTTCAGGGGGTTCACCATACTTTTCAGAGAGCTAAGGCCATCTGTCTACCAGACAGCATCACCCTAAATAAATAGTTTATTGCTAAAATAATTTTTTCGTTATTCCCTTTTTTCTCTTTCATTATAAAATTAATAATATATATTAAATTATTTACTTCCTCAAACAATTAATTCAATCTTTTTTATAGAATATATTTTGCATATAAAAAAATGTTTCTTTTATACTAGAGGGAGTTACATCCTGCTTATTTTTCTCCATATTTTCGCAAGCCGTCTTCCATTCTTGCAATTCGGGGGAAGGAATTAATCCTGAAATAAATTGGTTGACATTTTGATTGGGGTTATCGGTGACGATATTCTGGAGAGAAGATAATGCGCTATCGACATCGGGAAAAGATTGGTCACCATAATTGAGTTTATTGATATCGAGAACTTTCGTAGCCTGGAGTGAAAATTTATTGCAAGATATTATAAGTTCAAATACTATAACAATAACATGTTCAATCTCAAATACTTTATGGCTAAATATCGGTGTTAAAGTTATATATTATTGTTATGTTCTTTCTCCCCCACCCCTCTTGTCCCGTATAACTTATTTCTTTAAGTTTTTCTCCACTTGTTTCTTTTGTTTTTCCCATGGTCCTTTTTTTTATATTGATATTATACCTTATTTTTATATTGTATTTGAAACTGGTTCTGACCAGTTTCAAGAATGATTGTATCGCGATATTATATAACAACATGTTATTTTTTTTTCTTTGTTTGATAAATTATAAAAGGTTGCAAAAATACCTTTATTGGGGATTCTTTTTTTTTAATTATTTTACTGAATATTTTTTGTGTTAAATAAAATTATTAAAGTTTTATTCTTTGGTAAATTGTAATATTTTAACAATAAATTAAATTACTAAAATTACCCGATAATGACTAAGTTAAAACTCAACGTCAACCTACCCGAAAATCCCGGTCCCTCGAATTCGGCCGATCCCTCTCCCTATCCTCCGGTAGAACAGCCCGAGGTCGTGGCCGCGAACATATCAATTCAATATCTTATATAATTTATTATTAACTCACATATTTATTCTAGATTAAAAAGGTTTTTGTGGATAATTTTTTTTACGAGTATCAGCCAAATATAATTTCAAGAAGAAAAAAAAACATTGCAAAAAATTTCGTAATGGTAAACTCCACGACTAATCAGTGAAAATTTCGGCTTGATTCCCTAGTGAAGGTCAACAACTTTATACCGGACCGAGATCAATAGGTGGGCCGTATCAGGGGGTTTTTAATGGCAATCCGATCCGTACTGCTCTTTTCATAAATATTTCAATTAACTTATAAAATGGATATATATTGACCGCAAGGCGTTTAGCATATATACAAATTATTCTTATTTATATTTTTTATTTCATTTCTATGTGAGTTTTTATTTGTTCGTTTTGAAATTTAAAGGTCTATTAAGAAAATATTATATAAATAGTCGTAAACAATCAACTATCCCTTCTGAATTAATATTTAATAAAGCTGGGGATCTTGTCAGGATAAAAAGAAATAGGTTTCTTAATAAGATAATGCAAGCGATCATGTGTATGAGATTTAAGCCCCTCTGATTCAATTGCGAGCGCCTCTATGAACAATATTAAAATTCATTATATTTAAAATAAAACATCAATAATATTTATATTATGTATACGATATTTTAATTTAAAAAATAAGAGTATAAGCAAAGCTTAGATTAGGCATGATATAACAAGAAATTTTTTATGCATTATTGACCCCTTAAATTTCATCTAAAATTTTGTATATTGAATAATAGAGCTGAAAAACTTGAACAAAATATCTCAAAATAGTTATTCTTTATTTTTTAACATTATGTATTTTAAATAAAATAATCTTTTTGAACAAAAATATCTCAAAATAGTTATTCTTCATTTTTTAACATTATGTATTTTAAGTAAAATAATCTTTTTGAACAAAAATATCTCAAAATAATTATTCTTCATTTTTTAACATTATGTATTTTAAATAAAATAATCTTTTTTCGGGCGGACCTTTTGGATTGGTTTAGCATTTTCTTCGATAACACTTATGGAAACTAAAAAAAATATTTAGCTCGAAATTCCACTGAAGAAAAAGATTAAGGATCTTCATGTGATAGGAAATACATTATTAAATCCATAAATGTAAAAAAAAACCCATTTTGGAATTTTTATTGGACACATTTGCAGCGAGGCCGGCAATATGCTGAAATGCATTTTGGTAAATTAAGATTTTTCAAATTAAAAATCGCCCTAGTATATGATTTAAAGTTGAGAAATTCTAAATTCCCACGTATTCCAGAAAAACTTACGACATAGTATACTAAATAACGAACTAACCAGCAACTAGTGATGCAAAAAACATATAAAAAAATAATTTTTTTAAAATAACGGGGGAAAAAAACAAAAATATATTCTTTATTAATAATGAGCGAAATTTTGAAAACACTTAAAAATTAATTTTCTTATAAAAAAAACTTAAGAAAGGTATAAAATAAATGATTGTGATAATTGAAAAATTTCCCAACAAAATATTGGTAAATTATTTGTAAAATAATTATAATTGAAAAATTTCCAGTAAAATTGGTCGATTATATTTTCATTAATGTAGTAATAAAAAACCTTTTAAAAAACAGAACAAAATTTTTTCACCGTACCTGCCACCAATCTATATCGTATTTAGAATTGATTTTCAAAATATCGCCAACTGAGAACGATAGACCAGCTTGGGGACAAGGGTTTTGTTCATCGCTAGATGCGTCATAATCGAAACATGCCTTTACGTAAGTCTTTATTTAAAAAAATAATTTCTTCTTCATTTTCCCTTTCTCTATTATTTTCTTTTTTCCTTTATTTCGTCAACTTTGTTCATTATTTTCTTCATATTTTTTTTCTTCAAAATCTCATTTCTCTTTCTACCACTTATCCTATATATAATTTTAAAATTTATATTTCTCTTACATGACCGCCACTGTAATGATAAAACGACCTCCCTCCATTCATCCCAGTATTTCCTTCCAAATTTTTGTTGCCCGCTCCGGTTCTATCTTCCAGCGGGTAATTGGAGTCAGATGAAATCAAAGATCTCTGGATATTACTATTATAATTAGGATTGGGCACTGGAGATGAATAACCTAAATTGGTCGAAATATAGGAAGATGGAGTATTCATGGAAGATAAGATTGAAGAAGAAATGTTGGTGGAAGATTGTATCTTAAGGGTAACTTGACCTTGGGCTTGACTAAGCAGGCATTGTAAGGTTTGAACGTTTTGTTCGGAAACATCTTTACCGTTTATTTCCAGTATGTGATCGCCGACACCCAAATTTCCTTATGTTTTTGAAGAATATAATGATCACTTTTTTATGATATAAAAAAAATGTTTTACGGCGTTCTATTAAAACCTGGAGTAAAACGTGATAATTTTCGTGAGTAAAATAGAAAATTGGAAGGAAATAAAGATCAACTTTTTTTTTAAAAAAAAAGATAACATATTTATAACCTTGTCGATAGGCTAATCCACCATACATGACTCTGGCTATAACGCATTTATTACCTTCGTTGAGTTTGAGTGTTATGCCCTTCAATATGCAAATACATTTATAAGAAGTCATATTTTTGTCAATAGAAGAATAAAAAAAATAAAATATTACCATAGCTTCATGCGGCTTTTTCTCGAAAGTGGCCACTTTAATTCTATTTCCAACACCGACACAGCCAGGAGACGAAGAATGTAATATATTGCCTGTCATTATATTACCAACTATTTGGTCGTCCCTAAGGGCGTTATTATAATTGTTACGATCAATATTTTCGATATTTTTGATGCCTGGGGAATTGGATACCATATTGTTAATAGTATGGCAAGTTTTTATAGAAGGGCATATTAAACCATCAGAGGAATCGTAATCTGGTATGCCAGGAGGCGACGACAATAATTCATTTTGATGGTACAAGATGCCGTTAGGTAATTTAGATTGATTGCTGTTTTTTAAGTGAGTGGATTTAGCGGGAAAATTACTACTTAGATAATTTTGATTATTTAAGCTATTTGGGGAATCGGAAAATGTGGGGTAACCACTATCTGGGTAAGTTTGGGTTATTTGGATGGTTGTTGGAGTTGATTCAGTAGTTTGGGAAGAATAGATTTCGTGAGCAACTATATCAGAAGTCTTTAATATCGCCTTTCATCAAATAAAATGATTATATAGTGCGCTCAAATAGAGCGTTTGCGTTTTTCCGTTACTTTCTCCATTAAAAAAACGTAATGCATATCTTGTTTAAAGACAAGATTTTTAATTTTATATAAAAAAAATGGCGTATTTTAGCTTAGAACAAAAAAAATGCTAGCCTTAAATTATAAAAATGTATTGAAAGAAAGCAAGCGAAGCCAGTTTGCGTTTTTAAAATGGTTTCCAGCACCAAATGGTAATTTGGCAAGAAATTGATTGTTTAAATCTACTCTGAAATATATTTTACTCGGATATGTGATTTATTGAGTATTTTGTTTAGTTCTTGGCACAAGTGGAACAAACGTTTGTCATGGTTAGGGTTGAATGTCGGAGAATTGATAGCTTCTAATACCTTGTAAAACATTCAATTATTTTTATATTTCCTGATATGCATATATCTTAGAATAATATAAATGTTAATATTTTTGTATAAAGAAATATAATATTAAAGTGATAAAAAAACAAGATTAAATAAGAAAGGTATGTGGAGAAAAATTGACATCTAGAGCCCATTTAATGACCTTAGCGATCGATTAAAAAATAATTAAAATACCATTTATTAATTTCAAAGCTCAATTTAATTAGGTCAAGCAAATACTAAATAACTTGGGTTAAACCAAAATCAGAATAGGTGTTTGGGATGATGTAATTTTAAAATATTCAAAGCTAAAGAATCTGTTGTAACTTTGCCATAATGGAAAATATCTAAAAAATAATAGTTCAGTTTGAGCTTTGTTTATACCTCAAAAAATATGAGTTTATTTATATAGCTTTTCTTTCCTTTTTTCAGTTATAAAGTTCGACGAAATATTTATAATCAAAAAATTTTATGGTTTTTGTTTTTTTTTACCGAAAAACTTAATTCGACCAAGTCCGAGGGCGGGTTAGTGTGAGGTAAATTTTTTCTCTTGCAATATATCTTATCGTAGAGCTAACATTAAAATAAAAGGTAAGATTAAAGATATATTCATAGATAAGATCATCGATTGATTTGTATACTAAAGTGTTCGAACTCTTTTTTTTTATTTATCAAAAAGAGCATGCATTTAAAAATTTCTTAAATCATAATTTTTAGGCCAACATGGCCTGGATTTAACAAATAAATATTAATGGCCTTATGAATTTTTTATTTAAAGTTCGGCTCCTTCAAATAAGTTTGGTTGTATTTTGTAAATTATTTAGAAGGGAGATTGAAAATATGTGCAATTAAATAGTAGATTTTCTAGCTAATTAATTGATGATTATATATTTATATTTTAAAAAATCAGCCCGGCCCGGGTTTGTAATATTTTTAGCTCTGCCGGATTTTCAAAATCGCTTCCCTGACGAAAGCGATTTCTTATAATTATAAATCTAAAAATGTTAAATAACTCAAATATTCATGATTTTAACATTTAAAATTAAATGTGAAGATGCGATTCATTGTATAATGTAATGATAAATATAAATATATCCCTGTCTTATCATATAGCTCTCTACAACATTGGTCTATAATATTATCCTTAGGGGTCCCATCATTTTTTTACTTAAAAAAACCATTAAAATAAATTTTTTTTGTGTCAAATGTTTGTATACATACAAACTATACGTATAAGGTATAGTAAAAATAATTTTTCAGTCAACGTTTTGTTTAATACATTAAAATTCCTCCCAATATTTGGTTAAAATTTTTCTCTTAATCTTTTACCTAAGATATTCGATTAGATGAAAAATATATTTATTAATTAAATAGATTGATTCTAAAATTGGCTATATTTGTTTTGTATTAAAGCTCTGCGTTTCTGATAAATTATAGATCAATTTTCCCTATATAATATTATAATAAATTGATTTTAGAATATTTTTTTAGTAGAACCGTAAATTTAAATAATTTTTCATTTTTTAAAATTAAAAATAAAAATAATAAGGGAAAGAATAAAGAAATACTATTTCGATCCCAGGATTTGAAACATTAAATTACATAATTCCGATTTTTATTACCTTTCAATAGTTAGGAATTCTATGAAGAATGGAAATTGACCACCACCAATCAATTTAGAATATTTTTAGTTTCCCGATTAATAACAAAATTATAAAAATAAATAAATAGAACTCGTTAAAATATAAGTAACTTAAAACAACTCGAGCAGAAAATTACGCAAAAATTAAATATATTGTGCAATGGATCGCAATTGAAAATTGCCAGTCAAATTAATAAAATGATTATTAACGAAAAAAATCAAAGAATAAAAAAAATTAAGTTTATAAAAGAAAGCCGTAAAATATTTCTTCTTGTTTTGAACTTAAATCGATAATTTGTTTATCAACTTTTATTATTTTTTTCATTAACTATTTTTTATATTTCTCCTTTCTTTTCTTATTTCTTATCTTCACTCTTCACTCTTCACCTCTTTTTCTTTTATTTATTTTCTGTTCTTTCTTTTTATCATACTTTTTTTTCGTAGATGAATAAAAACAAAGATTAAATTATTTCTTCAATTGGAACCCCTACCATTAAATTTTCCCTTAAAAATGAAAGCCTAGAAATAAATAGTTAATTAACATTATTTTAGCTAGTGGCGTGAGTAGTAATTAATTTTTTTTACAAAATTAGCAAAAATTTATCTAAAATTAAGCAAAAAAGGGAATACATATTTTAAAAAAAATTCCGAAGGCCTGCCCACTAATTACACCCTTTCGGGAGGAGCCTTCTAAAATTTTCAGGAGATCTTGGCGACACCTCTATTATCTATAACCCGAATTCACGTTTGATTTTATGAAAGAGAAGATTAACAAAATTTACATCTCTTTAAAATACAAGCGTCTATATATTAAATACTCCTCACAATCAAAATTATTATATCATACAATATTTGCAAATGGTAGAGCCCGAAGAGAGAAATTTTTTTTTGCTATGATTGATTGATTGCGGTGCCATTGCATTTTGTTTTTAAAAATTTCACAAAGTAAGTAAGAAATAATGTTATTTCAAATGTACATTCTTTTAAAATACAGTATAATCATTTTTTTTCTATCAATATATTGGGCCGGATTATATGACCTGGGATTGTTAAATTAATGTCCCTGAAATTAGATCAATATTATTATATAACTAACTTATATCAGGCTATAATTCGCTTCCCCATACCAGAGTTGTTAATCGCTACTTTTAAAAATAACGCGCTACCGCTATCGCTATTTGTCAAAAAAAGTAGCTCGCTATTAGCTATTATTTTTCAAAATAGCTTTAGCTGCTTTTTATAAAAAAAAATTTAGAAACAAATTTGTTTTATTTTTTGCTTATAATGTTATTGTATAGTAAATTATAAAAATCAACATTTATATTTTATTAGTGTCTGGCGACATAAAATTGTTGTACCAGAGGATAGAGTTTTAATCATCATGGTAAATGATGGATTATCAACCAAGGACATTGGCTGAACTGTATCAATTATAAAATCAACAATAACTTTATCAGTGAATTTCTGAGAAATATTGGAATTTGTTTATTAATTACGCCTATACCAAAATTATTTAGATGTTTCCCCATTTCCTTAAAGCTATTGGTATGAACAGTCTTATAAAATAAACACTATTAGAATGTAATAATGACAATTTACCTTTTGGTGTTTCTTGAGGTTATAACTAGATTGATTTGAGGAAATATTTTTTTTTACATTTTAAATAAATAAATTTGAAGCCAGTTTTGGTTTTTATATTTATTTTAATCAAATCTAGGAAATAGGAAATTTGTATTATAGCTATTAAGAACATGTTCTTCCCTGGTATTTTCCATTTTTTTAATATCATTATCTGAATCACTTTCAACGATTTGGATATCCATAGGCGATGACATTTTAAATTATTAACCCGTGATTTAGGTTTATAATACAAATTTCAAATTGAAAATATATTTCAATTTCAAAATTAAATAATAAATCCTAAAAATTATAATTAATTAAATAATTACAAAATAAGTAGCCGCTATTAGCTATAGCTACCAAAAAAGCTAAGTAGCGCGCTACAAGTAGCTCGATACTTTAACAACTCTGCCCCATACCGAATAAATGATTTACTTTATATGATGTAGTTTAGGATATTATTATATTATAATGTTTTATCTTATTTTAATTTCAGTAATTTGAAAAATGGCTATTAAAATAAAATAATTTACTAAAACAAAATTAATAAATAACACGTTAATATTTAGTTTTTAATTATTTAAACACTCATTTGAAAGACTAAAAAGATAAAGATTAATGATGTGGATGATACTACATTTAAATTAATAGGAAAGACAATTTAGTATGTATGTATAATGTCAAAATTAATTGGAAAATGTTATTTGATTATGTAATATATTATAAGTGTTAAATTTTATAATATTTTTTATTCAGGTAATTAAAAATAATAAAATAAAGTAAATGATTATTATAGATTTTAAATAGGTTTTTGATTGTTTTTTTTAAATCAAGTTTTCTTTATTCCTTTCTTTATTTGGATTTGGAATCTCGAATATGAGACAAAAATACCCCAGTTTTGCTTAAAAAAATTAAATGCTCAGAAAAAAGAAATTTTTTTTTATATAAAATTATTTACAAATCCTTTATTTTCCATTTTCAAATAATAAATAATATAAAGTATTAAAAAAAACGAAAATATAATATTTTATGTTTTAATATATTTAAAAATGTTTGAAAAATATATAATAATACTATAAAAAAAAAGAACGGATGGTGTGACGCAGGGAAACAAAAATGAAAAAGGGACGTAAGTGTTGTCTAGGATAGCTCTTTGGCTAGAAGACTACCATTGAAACTGACATAATTAGCTTTGAGAATCGCTATGGATAATCGTTGACGAAAAAAAAAACCCTCTCGAGGTTCTTTTGAGAGTTTGCTGATTTGTGATCCTAAGTTTTTGAAAAATGCTAAGGCGAGTTTGCCGAAGGTTTTATTTTTCTACCCGTTTTTTTAGAGTGAAAAAAATTCAGATATTTAAGTCACAAATTTTTAAATAATATAAATTTTAGTTTTCTATATATTCAGAGTATAATTTATTCGGAAAATGGTCATACTTAATCATTTTTTATTTAGCAAAGTAACTCATTCTGTCATTTAGCTTTCGATTTTTTTTTCCTTCTCGATATAAATTAACTCATATCTGTCGTTTAGTTTTTTTTCTTCTTCTTCTTTATATCATTGCGGGGGGGGGGGACTCGCGTTTAATAATAAATCATACCCTTTGTTGGAAAAAATAAAGATACTGTGAATAATTCTTTCGATATAACTATAATATATGTCTTTCTTACTAAATCAATTTTTTTTGATGTTAAAAACTAACCCATTATCTGTTTTTTTAGCTTTCCTGATTTCACTGGGGAAACTCGTTTTAAACAAAATTATTTATAAAATTAATCTTTTTTTTTTGTTAACACTCAAAAAATCCCCAATTTCTGAGCATTTTAAAAAAATGATTAAAACATTTTTTCCAACTAAAGTCGTACTTTTGGGATTTATTCTTCAAGTGGAAACTAAACCGAGAGATTTATTTTATCCAAAAGATCCGATTATCATTTTTTAAGTATCAGAAGTCTGGTAGGGATTTTTATTTTGGAAATAAGTCCAAGTCCAATCAGTAGAATTTATGAAGGAAAGCCAACAAATTATAAGGCTAGAAGAAAATAATTTTTTTTTGACAAGCAAAAAACAAAAAAATAACTAGTTAGATGGATTGGGCATGTTCGTGTGCAGGGGTTCTGTCTTTACCTACCCATTTATTCAATTTTTTCTTCTTCCTCGCCTCGCATATTTATTTCTTATCTTCCTCGCATATTTATTTCTTTATTATCATTCTTTCTTTATTTTCTTTTCAATCCTTCCTTCTAAAAGATATTGGAAATAATATATTGACCAAAAATAGAATTATAATTGCTATAATAAATTTAATTAA